TGTAAAGTCACATTTATTTTAAGTTAGTTCAGCAGTTTGTTTTATTTTGTCCTGGTCTTCCGGGATCTGATTAGTGTTTCAGATAGTGGTTTAGTTGATGCTATTTTCTCTGTCATTCTGTTTTTTCTTATGCCTATATATAGGCCATTGCTTATTCAATAAACGTAACAGTAGAAAGCATTTTCTCTCAAAGCCTTTTGCTTATATTCTTCTGTCTTCTTCAGTTTTTTTATTGTATCAGTGGTATCAGAGCCCCTACTGGGCCTGAGGTAAAGAAAATAGCAGCAGCTTACTTGCAGCAGCAAGGGTAAATGGCGTTAGAGAACAATAACTATGTGCAACCTGCTATTCCCAGATTTGATGGTCATTATGATCATTGGAGCATGTTGATGGAGAATTTTCTGAGATCCAAAGAATATTGGATGCTTGTGGAGACTGGTTATGCTGAACCAGGAGAAGCACCTCTGACAGAAACACAGCAAAGAAGACTTGATGAGCAGAAGCTAAAAGATTTGAAGGTGAAAAACTATTTGTTCCAGGCAATTGATCGAACTATTTTGGAGACCATTCTTCATAAAAACACTTCCAAAGAAATTTGGGATTCAATGAAGAAGAAATACAAAGGCTCAGTGAAGGTTAACCGCTCCCAACTTCAAGCACTCCGCGGACATTTTGAAACCCTTCAAATGAAGCAAGGAGAGTCAGTGACCGACTATTTCTCAAGAACAATGACTATTGCAAACAAGATGAGGCTGCATGGTGATAAAATGACAGACACCACCATAGTTGAAAAGATCCTACGCTCAATGACAACAAAGTTTGACTATATCGTTTGTTCCATCGAAGAATCAAATGACATAGATGAACTTTCAATTGATGAGCTGCAAAGTTCCTTGCTTGTCCATGAGCAGAAGTTGAATCGGAGCAGCAATACTACTATTGAAGAACAAGCATTAAAAGTTTCAACCTTGACTGAATCCTCAAGCTCAAGAGGAAGAGGCCGAGGTAGAGACAGAGGAAGAGGTCGAGGACATAGATATGGGGGAAGGCAGCAGCCTAGTTTCAGATATGAAGATCATTCTCAAAGTCGGGGACGAGGCCGTGATCAATATTTTGACAAATCCAAGATTGAGTGCTATAGATGTCATGGTTTTGGTCATTTTCGTTCAGAATGTAATGCAAAGTTTAATAAAGAAAACGAAAAGGGGGAGAAGGCAAACTATGCAGAGAGAAGGGAGGAAGAGGAGACACTCTTGATGGCAATCCATGTCGAGGAGAATGAGCATGACTCAGATATATGGTACCTAGATACAGGGTGCAGCAATCACATGTGTGGTAATAAGTCTTTCTTTTTCTTTTTAAATGAAGATTTTCGCTCTACTGTTAGCTTTGGTGATCAATCTACAGTAAATGTTATGGGAAAAGGGGATGTTCAAATCAGGACTAAAGAAGACAATATTGAGACCATCTCAAATGTCTTTTATATTCCTGACCTTAAAATCAATCTGTTGAGTGTGGGACAGCTG